GGGCGGATTCAATAGGAGTTCGGTACGCGAATTTCACCAAGAATTGGCCGCGAGCTTCTCACAGTTAGGCCTCGACGATGAAGAGGCGGGGATAATCCGGTTGAAAGTGGAAGAAGACGGTAACAAAGAGGGAGGGAACCAAGTTGAAGTTCTTTTTGTGGAAGCTTCTAACCACAAATTGGAAGAAGATGTAATGTTAATGGTTTGTCCCCCTCTTGAATCGCCGCCACGATTGAGGGCGTCACAAGGGCAGCATGAAAATGGGGAAGAGACGGAGGTTTTCAAGTTTTTATTTGATTTAGTTTGTTTTAATTTTCATTTTGTCATTCAATACTTTGGTTTCATCTTCCTTGTTGACATTGGTGACAAGTGGGTTTCCTTTTGGTATGTGTGTGTGTTATAATGAGAGGAACTAATCAGGCTAGTCTAAACAATAATTAATCACTTCAAATCTCTCACATGTTTAACGATTATTCTTGCTCATTTTTGAGCAGTTTATTCTATGTCTGATCGCGGAGTGAGAGGACCTAGCTATTGGCAAATTAAGAGGGTATGTTTGTGTAGGTGGAAAGTTTAATGTTTGATTGTTTGTTTTTACGAGTTTAATATAAACGTTTCTTTTTTATAAAAAAATCACTAAACTTAGTATTATAAGCACTAAAATGTGGAAAGTTACAATTTTACTCACTACGTTTATTCAATTTGTAAATTTGTTATTACTTCTTTTCAAACCCTATAGTTAAACTTAACTCTCTAATATTCTTATACTCATATTTAAATAAGATTAGTAACTAAGATTTGATATGGATGGATGGGTGAGTTTGAATATCATGAAAATATGGTTTATTATACGAACTCGTGGAAAAGTAATAGTGGTTGTATCCCTCTCTTGTATGCAAGCGTCCTAGCTGAGAGTTGAGACAAACAATTGTACTCAACCAGTGTCAACTTGCATTCCGTGGACAAAGCATGAATGGTCCATGTTGGTTCGAGAGAGGAAAATAATAAGTGGTGCATCTATAAGAGAAATTAAGGTAGGTTCATGGTAACACAAGTGAGAGTTATCCAAGTGGATCACATCTCAAAAAGTGTAATTTAAAAGGGTTATCTCAAATGATGATCTTCTAGTTGCGAGACTAATTTGATCGGTGATCGCAATCAATAATTCGCATCGTCTCAAGCGAAAGTGTGAGAGTTAACTTCTTGTTGTAAATTTGACGGTATTTGACTAATCGGTGATAGCTTTGTCAAGTATTATCCTAGGACCTGAGGATGCGCGAAGTCAATTAGTTAAGGGAAGCTTCTCCTTTGTAGTAGTGTGAGAGATTAGGTGTTAGAAACTTAGCAAATTGTGTGAGCGATTCAGATTTACTTTTTTCAATGGTCTAAGCGGTTCCCGTAATCTTACTATCCATTTATGATCAAATGTTAGATTTACCCCACTTTCTTTTCACATGATGAAGGGAGGGTCATCTTTTTTTGATTTTTTTGAAGAGAAATTAAAATGTTTGGTGTACATCTTTTTGTGTACAACATTCACAAAATTTGTCTACATAGACAAAGTTGTACGCACACAAAAAACTTTTTAAATTTTAAAGGAATTGTCTATATAAAAACAACAACAAAAAATGTGCAAAAAATATACACAAAAAATGTATACGAGATGTATTCATGTAAAACTAGAATTTTACTAACAAATATATCTTCCAGTTTTCTATTTGTGTTTTCCGTTCTCCAATTTTCAGTTTTTTTCCCAGTTTTTCTATCTCCAATTTTTTGTTTTCATTTTTCAGTTTTCCATTTTCAAATATGAAAACATGTTCATACGATTTTTTCACCTGATTCAGTGACTGACCAAAAGATCGAAAGTACAGTCACAGTCTGGAACTGAACCTAGTACAGCACATTTCCCTATTGGTTGACAACTCAACGGCCCTTTTAAAACTCTTCACTTTAAAAATAATTTCGAAAAACTGAGACTGAACCGCCGGGTCATTGACCGGCTCGGATAGGGACCTCTGGGTCGTTTACGGGATTGGCCCGGTTGTAGATCGGACCGAACACAGATCGTCGGGTCATTTGCCAGACAGGATGGGGAGCACCGAGTCGTTGATCGGTCAGAAAAGGGACCACCAGGTGGTTGGCTGGACAAGACAGGGACCATCGGATCATTGACTAGATCAGACGGGGACCGCCGAGTCATTGACTTGACCAGGTAGGACCGGGACTGCTCGGCCATCGATCGGACCGAACAAGCACCACCAGGTCGTGGATCGAACCAGACATGGACCACTGGGTCATCGACAGGACGAGACAGTGGACGCCAGGTCGTGGATCGGACCGGGACCGTCAGGTCGTCGATCGGACTGGACCGAGATTGCTCGATCATTGATCAGACCAGGCATGGATTGCCATGTGAATGACTGTACCGGATCGTCGGGTCATTGACCGGACCAGATAGGGACCGTCGGGTCATTGACCGGACCAGACTGGAACTAACACTTAAGCGGGACCGGATCCAATACTAGGTGTAAGTATGCAAGGTCATTGCAACGGCAATGCAACATCCACATTTTCCAAATTTGGAAAACTAGTAAAAGTCACTTCTCTAATTCATTAAGAAAGACGGAAATATATCTCTTTTTTTTTGTTTTGGAAAATAATTTGGTGAACGAAATTTTCTGTTTTCCTTTCTCCAGTTCCATCAATTTTCCTTGGTGAAAACGTTTTCTATTTTCCTTTTTCCATATTTTAATATATAGGGTTGGGACTTGGAACCGTATAACCGGGAAAACCAATCCGAACTGAACCAAAATTTCTGGTTTGATTTGGTTCGGTTCCTATAATTTTGGACTTCAGCTTTTTTCGGTTCGATTCCTATAGTATTTCATCGGTTTCGGTTCCGGTTCGGTTCCAGTTCGGTTCCGGTTCTTGACCAGGAACCGAACTTCTTATACATTGCATGAGTAATTTTCATTTGAGGCGCTTCTCGATGGAATTTTTTTGATGAAACTTTGTGAGCTTGTTGTTCATGAAATAATGATTATGTACACCAAATTTGAGCTTAAGATGGAACCACGAAAGTAAGTTAAATAAATTATTGAAAAGCATTACGCCAAAATATATATAAAATTAAAACACAATGTTTTTCAATATTTTATTTAACTCACTTCCCGATTGAATTTTAAGCTAAAATTTGGTATATATGATCTATGTTTCATTTAGAACATGCTCGCAAAATTTTATCAAAAAATTCTACATGAAGGCACCTCAAATGGAGGTGGCCATACTGCTTCCGGGCACAAAATTCTTGTCAAAAATATTTGTTTTGCATTATATACATTATATATTGTGGACCAGGTCAATCCAAGTAGTTATTATTTTAATACTTTAGTCCACTTTTATATTTATTGTTTGTTTGTAATTGTATTTGTTATTGGAGTTCACCTAAAAAGGAATCAATATTCTATTGATTACGTTGTTTATTACTACGTACTTTTTACTTATTGTGCATTACTAGTAGAAGAATATTATTTCAGGGTTGAACTACCTGCTATTGGATGTGTACTTTGGAGCTATTGAACCTTTTTGCTTAACAGTTGATACATATTTTAAACCGAGATTTTTGTTATGTTTAAATTTAATGTTGCACTTGCATTTTTTTATATTTGAACATTGAGATACCATGCATGCATAATGTAATGGTCATAATTTCATGATTTAAAATTTGAATTTTTTATGTAACAACTGAAGGTAAAATGTGTTCATTTTAGGAGGATGATAAATTTTTATAAGGAATCGAATAAAGGTAAGAACCGAGCCGAATTTAACTAGAACCGAACCGAATTTAACAACTACGTACTCCCTCTGTCTCATTAGAAGGTTCACACTTTCCTTTTTTGGACGTCCCGTTAGAAGGTTCTCATTTCCATTTTAGGAAACAATTAACAATCTTAAGTGACAAATTAATCATTAAATATTAAAAATAATACATTTATAAGATCACAATTATCAATACTAACTACATTATAATATATACCTATTAAAATTATTTCTCAAAATATACTCAAAGTACTTTATTTAATTATTGTCTAAATAACCGTGTCGTTTTCATATGACAACCATCCAATGGGACAGAGGGAGTACATTTTTAAATAGAACCGAATCGAATTTAACGCTTACAATTTTTATACGGTTCCATCAAATTTTAACAAGAACCGAACCAATCCCATGCCTAGATTTTGTTTTAAGTTTTATGAAAAAACTCGAAAATATTTCCCTTAATAACACACATCACAAGGGTTAAGTCCTGGGTTCGAATCACAGCAACTGCGATGAGGGCAGGGGTGGACCGTAGTAGAGACTCAGGGGGGCTACCGCTCCCCCAACAATTTTTTTTTAGTGTATATATATACGAAAAATAATTTTTGCTCTTCCAAAAAGTATTTTGGACCCCCCCAAAAATATTTTCGCCCCCCCAAAATGACTTTCCTGGGTCCGCCCCTGGATGAGGGGTTACTATGCTAAAAGAGTTGGACTTGGGGTACACACTTTTGGTGTACACACTTTTTACACATGTCTGTGTAAGGTTTTTTTTATGTCTGTACAGACATAAAAAAAACCTTACACAGACATATGTAAAAAGTGTGTACACCAGAAAGTGTGTACCTTTAGAATTTTTCATGTTAAAAATGCATAGGGCCTCTGCAAGTACCGGGGATAGAACCTCACTCTCTATCTATCAGAATGAGATTATAATCCAATTTACATCCTCCTAACGTACCGTCCAATCGAGGTTGGGGACTTGGGTGTATCCTTTTTTTTAATAAACACACACCACATGTTTCATTCTACATCGCAATGATTTACTTTCACCGGCCAGCTTTTCACGACATCAATCACATTTACAGTAACAGAAATTAGAAATGGACCCCAAACTCTAACCTTATTTTATTTCTAAAAAACGTACAGAAAAAATATAAACAAAGAATAAAAAATTAAATAAATCACGTGTTACAGGCTATACCGGTTCTCCCACTGAATCCGAAAAACTTCTCCATCCGTATAAGTACTTCCATCACCATGCACAAAGTATTTCCATCCCACTGTCGATCACTACCTACAGTCCAAAACTTGTTTATTTGGTCAGATCTGTATCTCTCCGGCCATTCTTGATTTTCCGGCCATGCCGATCCACAAGATTGCGTTCGGGCACCACGATGAGCTCCGGCATCCGGGCAACCTCAAGGCGGCTCTGGCGGAGCTCATATCCACCGTCATCTTCGTGTTCGCCGGCCAGGGCTCAGGCGTGGCGATCAGCAAGTTGACCCACGATGGTCCCACCTCCCCTGCCGGCCTCATCGCCGCCGCCCTTTCCCACGCTTTGGCTCTGATCGTGGCCATCTCCGTCGCCGCTAACGTCTCCGGCGGCCACGTCAACCCCGCCGTGACCTTCGGCGCCTTCATCGGCGGCAACATATCTTTCTTCCGCGGTCTCCTTTACATCATTGCTCAGCTTATTGGGTCAACGGCCGCTTGCTTCCTCCTCCAATTCGTCACCGGCGGCCTGGTAAGACTCTCTCTTCCGCCAAGCATTCAAAATGATCCGTACATATATAAATAGCTATTATTGCTAAGTCAATTTATTTACAGTTGGCCAGTTCAGTTTTCCAATTTCCAGTGCTCTTATTGATGAATATGGAAACATTCTTTAATTGTCGAACATTTAAATAAGATCATTAATTAGTCTTTTTTTACTATAAGACATGTGCAAAAAACTACTAAAATAAAAGTAATATATAGATCAAGTTCAGAATATGGGTAACATAAATTTTTAAATATACCTCATATGATTAATTTGTAGGGAGAATTAAAATTTTAGTCTTTAACTTTTGGCTATGATTAATATTAGTTACTTAACTTTAGTCGCTTCTAAATTTGGTTTCGTAACCAATAAAAGTTTTTTCACCGAAAAGAACAAGTTTCGGCCAAAATTAGACATCGGCGGGATCTTTTCCAGTATATTTTTTGTCAGAAAATGTATTTTTCGGGGCAAAAGTTCTTAAATTGCAAAAAATGATTAGTTAATAGATTAAATTTGCACGTGATTAAAGTTACCGGACTAATGATTGAAACATCTGAAAGTTACGACACTAAAATGGAAAATTTCCCATTATTTTATTCATTTTGTGAAAATTTTAGTTATTTGAACTGAATTCATATTTTCATAAACTTTTATTTGTATTTTGTCATCTATATTTCCTAATTTTCCACTTTACGTCTTGCCATTTTCTACAAATCCTACAACTATCCTAACCATTTCTTTTTACCAATGAAATCATTATGTTCAAGTGTAGATCTGTACTAGGGTTATGCTTGGTTGATATCAAGGACTACAAAAATTTACTCTGAAGTTTCCAGTGAAATTTATTCATTGGGCTTATCTGGGCATTACAATTAAAATCTATTATAATTACTCTTCACAGAACACTAGTCCATTTAAAGCGTTACTCTTCACAAATTTTCAGATCCCTCTTTGTCAATAGTGCCATTTAATCATAACTCTTTTTAAATAAATTGATCCACAAATAAAGCATTGATGATCCCAATTGTCTTTTCTGTCTATCATTTTGTTCCATTTAGGTATTTTTTGCCTTTTTTAAGAAGGCATTAGGTATGACTGTATGAGTGGTGAAATTATTGTCAAAAATCAGTCTAATATGTACTGTATATATACAGCCTACCGGAACTTTTGGTCTTGCCGGAATATCCGTTTGGAACGCACTGGTGTTAGAGATCGTGATGACCTTCGGCCTCGTCTACACCGTTTACGCAACGGCGATCAACCCAAAGAGGGGAGACATCGGAACCATTGCTCCCATCGTCATCGCCTCCCTCGTCGGAGCTAACATTCTGATCGGCGGCGCCTTCGACGGAGCATCGATGAACCCGGCGGTGGCATTCGGACCTGCCCTGGTGAGCTGGACCTGGACTTCCCACTGGGTGTACTGGGCAGGACCCATCGCCGGCGGTGGCCTCGCCGGAGTTGTGTATGAGGTCATCTTCATGCCCCACCACACCCATGAGCCATTGCCCCGTGAGGAATTCTAAATCCAGAGTTTCTCATCCGATCTTCTTGTAATCTGTTGTTCTTCGTCCTTGTTTCTTCAAGCTTTGAGTGTATGCTGCTATGGAGTTTAAGTCTGTTGTTGAGTGTATCCTGTAATTTCTGGGCTTCTTATTTTGTGATGAATTATTATTGAATTCGGAGCTATTTTTTTCTTCATGTTATTAAGTGAATATTTATGCTTATTATGAACTCAACTACTTATGTTATTTGATCCCTTCAAACAACTTTTTAATTAGGAAATCCATATGATTCTCTCGTGGAATATGGAGTCCTATGAGATTCTTGAATAACAACAAACACTTATGAATCCAATGGCGGATTTAGAATTCAACTTTTGGGTATCCATTTTTTTGTACATTTAATTCTTGAAAGAAAAATAAATAATTCAATTAACTTTA